CTGCCTCCAAACAAGCTCCCATTCCTGTTGGTGCCTGCTGGGCCCCTCTGCTTCCAGGGCTTGGTGGGTCACCACAGGGTCTTGCTGGCCTGGTTCTGTGGGTGCTCCTGAGTTGCTGGCCCAGCTGTCGCCAACCATGCTCCGCTTGGCACAGATTTGTACCAGCACCTTCTTTGAGACAAAAACAATCTCAGGAGCACTTCCAAGCCACTCCAAAGCACAAACTAGCCAGCTTGACTCAGGGGCAAGCTGCAGTGGCAGTGAGAGAGGGCAGGGAAGAGGGCTGCAGTGCTCAGGACTGCTCTGCTGTGCCCGTTGCAAGGGCTCATGGATTTGAAGCTGCTTCTGTGTCTTAGGTCCCTGTTCCTGGATATTGGGGTTACAAGGAGGCAGCAGGGGGGTTTCTACTGGCACAGCTGCCTTAAGCACAGGCCAGAGCAGATTTTGCAGAGGGCACCAAAACACCTGGCATTAGGCCAAGGGATGGGAACGACCTGGGGGCAACTGTGGGGTGCCTGGAAGACCGAGGTGTGCACTTGAGCTGACACCTGGCCATGTGGCTGCCGCTCTGCTCGTGTTCCTCCACGGCGGCTGCCACAGGCTCTGCAACCCTCCGAGCTCTTCCCAGCTCTGTTGCTTTTCCCTGACCCCCTCCTCTGGGGTGAGCAGTGCTGTGCTGCTCACACGGGGGTTCAGCTGGTGCAGACTCAGGGTTCAGGTCAGCTATTGTTGTGGGAGTTCTTCAGAAACTGCAACCATGGCACTGAGCTTCAGTGACAAAGTTTTCTGGTCATTGTGGGAAGCTGAAACTCAGCATCCTCCTGCAGCCACCCAGAGCCACTTCATCCTTGCTGCTTGCTCACAGCCTGAGGAAGAGAGCAAGTCTTGCCCATCCCCACCCTGGGCCAAGGCCATGTATGGTTGGAGATATCATTGCTCTTTCTTCCTTTCTCAGTGCCTTTGCAGATATCTACATTTTGTGAGCCTTTTCTCACTTGATAAGACTTGCACGGTCCCAGCACTGACCCTGCATTCCAAAGATGTGCTCCCATCGGGCCCTAGCTAGGATCTGGGATGAGTGAGGGGTCTCACATGCTCTCTGGTGAACTAATGGATGGAGCTGGAGTCTGAGCATTGAGTTGGGCTCTCCAGCACCTGGCTGCAAATCAGGTTGTGTTTCAGTCAGGTAAAAGAAGCAATGTACGGACTTCTGAGGAGTCAAAAGAGCTGGGTACAGCCTGCCCTTATGCACTGAAGTTGCTAGTTACAGCCAAGGCTTTCCAGTCCCTGCTACTGGACTAGCTGTCTCTCCAGGACAGTGTGTGCTGGGGCTGCTTAGGAGCTCCCCAACCTTGGGGCAGTGAGTCTGTACTGAGCGAAGCACATATTCTGGTCTGTGCTACAGGGGGAACGGCCACAGTCCTTGCTGTTAGACGTGAACTCATAAGCAGGTCAGTTTTACTGAATTGCCCTTAGGAGCAAATCTGGTGACCTAAAAGGAAAGGCAAAAAGCCGACTATTTGTCTGCTGGAAAAGAATTTAAAAGGTTTGGGTTGGTTCAAATGGAAACCGATTTTTTTGAAGGAAACTGTGCTGGTAGTAGAGTGCCTAGCCCCTGACTTCTAGCAGCTCTTACATCAGTTGTATGTGCTGCTGGGAGTATGAAGGTCTGTGCTGGGAAGACCTGGGCAGGAATGATTGCATTCATTCCTCTGTGCAAGAGCCAGCTCATTCCATGTTTTAAGCTGTGTATTACTAGTTTAATAAAGCAGGTTCCTTCAGCATGCCAGGGAACTTACTCAGCTGCAGCTTACAAAACCTCCTTGTTCTCCCAAAGTTCTTTGTGCAAAAATAGATAGACGCCAACCAGCAAATCCACCTTTAATTTGTGGGGGTATATTGAGCCATGAGTGCCCTTTTCTGAATGCAGGGCAGCATTAAAAGCTCCCTGGCAGCACTGGGATGAGAGAGCCTTGCAAGGCAATGTGGCTCATGGTGACAGCACCCTCGTGACCTTCACCTCAGGACAGCTCTGTGTCTGCAATGATGTTGGCAGCACAGAGCAACAGATGTACCTGCAGCTGCTGTTCCCTGGGCTGCTTGTGAGTAGATGTTCACCTACACGAGTGCCCTGGGCCTTTCTGCACTGCCCTAGGAGGGCTTTGGCCACAAAGAAAGGTGATTCGCTGTCTTCTGCCCATGAGAAGCTGAAACAGGGTGGTGTTGGCCTGGGGCTCACCTAACTTTTCCTAGGACATCATTTCTTGCCCACCCGAACCCCAAGCTTGTAGCAGTCCTGGCTGGGGTGGGATGGTGCTAAGGGCCAGTACCTGTTGTGAGCAGCAGCCCCCTTATCCCAACCCCAAATGTAGTATGCCTGTTCATGGGGGCAATCTGCTGGCACTGCCTCTGGCTGTGTGGGTGGGGAGAGAGGCAGTGGCCTTGGGCACCAGTAGCACTGAGTTCAGATGAGCAGGACTCCAGGGCTTTGAGCTAAGGAAGGACATCCAGGCACTCAGCAAGTAAAACAAAAAGGCTGCTTTTCCCTATCAAGCTCTTGTGAGGCAAAGAAATAACTATGTATTGCTTTTATAAGAAAATGTTGAGAATGGATGTTGTCCAGTCTGTGTAATTCCTTGGCTCCCATGTCCTCTGAAATGGCCTGTATGTGCTTAGACACTTTGTCATGGTCGGAGTGGAGCCCTCACGCTGAAACTGTGGAGCTTGAGGGGTAATTTGCTGGAATTTGTTCTTTCATTTTCCATAATAACCGGGAGCATGTTGCAGTAACCAACCCCCTGGGTAGGCACTGGTGTAGGTCCTCCAGCAAGCTGTGGTCCCTGCAACCCTTTCTGGGGCTTCCCACCAGTTGCTGGGACAGAAGCAGCAGATGCCCCACTGCCAACTATAACTCTTGGGTTCAGGCTCAGCCAGATGATGGGCCCCTTGCCTGGCCAGATCCTGCTGGCTGCAGGGCAGAGGGGACCTGGCACCATTCTCTCTCCCACCCCATGCATGGGAAGCTGTTCTGTGGTGTCCACTTGACTCAGAGGTGTGAAACCCCTACTCCCTGCCCCTGAATCCAGGTCTGTGAAGTGAGGCACAGAGCCACTCATCAGCTTGGGAGGTGTCCCTGGAAAAGAGGGGCAACCCCAGGGCATGTGGGGTCTGTGGGGAAGAACTGGGTGATCAGCAGGGGATTTGTTCCCCATTTGTTCCCTATTTGTTCCTCAGGTTGGTGCTCTGGGTTCAATGATCTTAGGGGACCAAATCAGAGAGAAGGTCTTTGCAGGGAGATCAGCATTGCCCAGTCTGGTACTGGCACTTTTTTATGGTTTTGGGTCCACATTGAAAAGATCTAAGCCTGCTCTCACAGTACATGCGCCCACTTCAGCTCCCTGTAGTACATGTGCTCCAAGCCCCAGGCCCAGAAATCATGGATGTATTTTGCTACATTTTTCATGAAAACTTCCATTGGAAACATCTGGCAGGAACAAGAACAGCCCAGGCATTTGATATCCTAGAAAGCTGAAAGTAATTGAAACCAGAAGCTGGTGAACATTAGGAAGAATGCAGTAAGGAACACCATTCCTTGTGTCAGAAGACACTTAGCTGCAGTGATGATTTAACTTTAGTTAAATCATGATTTAACTTTAGTTTGATGCATGTTATCTGTATACTTCATTCCAGTTGGCTTTAGTACCAGAGACTTTTGAAAGAGCAGCTCTAAAGCAGAGCTGTAGTGCAGAAGGGCTGTGACACTCACCTCAGGCTTTCTTAGAGTGTTTCTCTCTAGATAATTTATATTTCTGAGAAAACCCCAGGAGATTTAACTACAAGCTCTTTAATTAGACCTTTACCTGGAGTAATTTTCAGTAAGACCAGGTTGATTTTGAAAAGGTCTACACATCTCTGCTGTGCTGTGTACACTGAGCTGCCCACACTGGGCTGTGCCCACAGGGGTGGAGGGACGGTGCTGGCACAAAGCTGGTCCCACCACAACCATCACCTCTGTGCTATTCCAGCTTCCAGCAGCAAAAGAGCCTCCTGAGAGTCCCTGCACTAGATCCAGACTCATGAGAAGGTGCAACACTCCTCCTCGCCCACTGATCTCTCCCTTTGCATCAGCATTTCTTGCCTTAGTTTGTTTTTTTAGTGGGTTTTTTTGTTTGTTTTTTGTTCTCGTTTGAAAGGATCTGTTAAAGGGGGCCCTTGCTCTCAACATGGGTGTGCAGCTGAGCCCTCACTCTGGGCCACGGGCACCTGAATCGAGCTGTGGTGAACCACAGTGACCTGGGCTCACAGTAGCAAGCCCTGTGCTCGTCTTGTTTTGGGTTTTCCTGAGGGCGAGCAGGATCCTGCACAGGTGCAGAGATGTCACTTGTGTGTGGCCTGTTGTAGCTCATGGCTTTGTGGGTAGGAGACTAATCTTGTATGGTCCTGGGGTCTAGGTGAAACACTTGAGATGTTTTACAGCTCTGGGAGTGCAATAAGAAGTATCTTCATGAACAGGACCAAGTACCAGACATTATACTGGGAGCACAGTGTCCACCATCTGAGCCCTGGAGCCTCCAGGCTGCAGCCAGGTTTCCTTCTGCTGCCCCTGCTTCTGACACTGACTCTTAACGTCTGTCTCCACTTCTGGGGAGGTGAGACATCAGTTGAAAATCCCAAGGCTAAGAAAAGGTTTGATTTCGGATCTCCTGTTTCCTGGCTGCTGGTCCTATGGGAGTGACTGGAGCCGGCCCAGTCACTCCCAAGTGTGGAAGTGTGGCCCATCCCCAGAGCACTGAGTGCCACGGCCAGGCCTTCCTTGGACACCTCCAGGAGTGGGGACTCCACCACCTCCCTGGGCAGCCCCTTCCAATGCCTGACCACCCTTTCCAGGAAGAAATTCCTCCTGATGCCCAACCTGAACCTCCCCTGGTGCAACTTAAGTCCATGTCCTCTCATCCTGTCCCTTGTTTCCAGGGAGCAGAGCCCAACCCCCTCCAACTCCCCCGTCCTGTGCCCCTGGAAGCCCCCCTGAGCCTCCTTGTCTCCAGGCTGAGGCCCCCAGCTCCCTCAGGTGTTATTTGTGCTCTAGACTCTTCCCCAGCTCCATTCCTTTCTCTGGACACATTCCAGCCCCTCAGTATCTTTCTTGTCGTGAGGGGCCCAGAACTGGACACAAGATTCGAGATGCCTCAGCAGTGCCCAGCACAGGAACAGGCACTGCCCTGGTCCTGCTGCCACACCGTGGCTGGTACAAGCCTGGATGTCACTGGCCTTCTTGACCACCTGGGCACACACTGGTGTGCCAACTCCCCACACCCAGCTGTGGAAGCAAAGAGCACCCCCAGGCAATGAGAGCCACTCTCCCAGTTTTCCCTGGCTGGTTCAGGTGCCCAGGTGGGAGCAGAGTGCAGGAAAACAACTGGCTCTGAGTAAGGGGAGTAAGGGGCTCCATGGGGAGCCCCTGCTGCCAGCTCGTCACACGCGTGTGCTGAGCCCTGCACCGACAACATCCCGGTCTGCCTCAGATCTCTAACTCAGGGCCATCCAGTATATCCACAAGCTGCAGTATCATTTCATGTTCTCCCCAGCCTAGCATGGGTTAGTAGCTGAAAAAAATACACATTAATTACTTTCAGATCTCTAATTCTGATCCATGAACTACACAACCAGCTACCACAGCATTGCTATTCCATGCCTGCTGTTGGAAAGGCCCCACTTTGCATTACAACAGTCACACTCTGATTTCATAATGTTCCCCATCATGATATGAAAACATCTGTCAAGATAATAGTTGCTGTAAAATCTTAACAGAAGGTAGGCTGGAGCAAGGGCTGAGATACAAAACTGTGCCTGTCACACTGCAAAGCAGGGATGTCAGGAGACTTGGGGAGCGCAGGTGAATCTGCACATCTCAATTTTGGAGTTTTTTTCTTTGGTGTTAAGAACATGCATTAGATTTTCCTGTCTCAAGAAATAAGTGTACAAACCTTTCTATGTCTGGACTTGCCTGTGCTTCAGAGCCCCTGAATGATTGACAAGCTGTATGATTTGGGATGACAGCTTTGTGCGATTGAAAATCAGAAAGTCCCATGATAGATACAAAACTTAAGTCTCCCTTATAAATGACAGTAGGAATTGAATGAGTGGGACACTGCCGGTGTTTCAAGCCAATCAAGAAAGTTGCAAAATTTCAGCAAGCTGAAGAAAGATTACTGTTGTTATTCTGTGTGTCTGGAGTTTTCCAGAGAGCAACTACTTTAGAAACTCTCTGTATTTCCCTCTGGTAGGGTAGTTGGTCTTCCCACTCTGCAGGGGAGATCATAAAGGAATGATTTGTCTCTTCTACAGGGAAGAGGCTGGATCAGACTCAAAGCAGGCTGTGACACTTGGGTTCCAGCTTCTGAGTACAGGATTTCAGGAGGACATCCAATCCCCAAGGGCTTGACATGAAGCCACTTGTGCTGTGCAGGGGATTGTTAAGCACCCCAGAGGGACAAATCACAAACTCTTCTAAAAAAGGGGGGATCTGCTTAGCCTGAGCTGGTCTTGGAGGTCTTTTCCAACCTTAATGATTCTGTGGGTGGGGTCCAACCCCCTTGCTTTGGGCATGCCTGGGAGCAGGAAATGCCCTGTCTTAATCACACTGGCGATTCAGTGTCAGGAAAAAGTCCCAAACTGCTTATTGGTCTGGTGTGTCTCAGTTTTTTGCTCTCAGTACATTCACTGTGCTGAGTTCAAAGGGCTGATCACAAGGGATGAGGGCTAAAAAAAGCTTTTCTCTCATCCTCCAGGCTTAGGGGGATTCTAGGAATTCATAGTTCATGAGATATGTGGCTGTTGTGTCCATTTTTAGTGACCTTAAATGAAATTACGGGCAACATGGAACATGTTTTTCAAAACGCTGGTGACTGACTCTGCTGCAAGCCCACAAGGTTAGTTCTTGTTGTGCAAACACAAGCAGGGTCAGCCACTGTGGCCTAAAGACAAGGTGACGTCCCCTGTGCTGCAGCAGCAGCTGCAGGTGTCCCAGGGTGCTCCAGCTGGGAGTGGTGCTTTGGGAGGTGGCAGGAGCTATTTGGAGTGGGCTTCTGGCTTCACACAAGTCCTGTAGGCTTCACTCTGCTGAGGGAAAGCTGGTGCTGCAGCCTTGGATGAGCATCCATGCAGAACAGGGAGAAAATAGGGCTTACTGAGCAGTAACAGAAAATGACCAGAACAGAGATCCTTCCTCTCCTGCACCAGGAGCTCACTCTATCTGTGCATGAAGGCTCCCACTGCTCCTGCCAGTCATTGCCTGGCTGCTCTGTACCAACCAAACTATGTTTGGGACTGGAAGACCTCCCTTCAAAGCCCACTCTGGCCCCAGGGAACTCATACCCGCTTTTCAAGAGTTTTTGAGTCAACTTTGCTGGTTTTGCAAAAGTCAGTGAAGGCTTGATCTCACTGGAAATGTGCACCTGGGGTCACAGGCCAGGAAGGCAGTACCCCAGCAGCAGCCTGGCTGTGCTGCCCTGAGACGGGAGAGCTCAGCTCCAAGTCCTGCCTGTCCCCCTGCCTCTCCTGCAGAGTTGGGGAATTTTGCTGCAGTTGTATTTTTTTTCCATGCTAATTCCCACTGTTTTCCTATGCTTTTCAGGGCACACACGTTGGCTGAAGTGGATTCAAGGGTGTTTTGGCAGCGTGGTCTGAGAAGCCTGTGGCACAACCTTGGTCTGAGGAAGGGAGAGGAATGACTGAGTCTATGGCCAGGCCTTACTGCCTGAGCTGCCCACGTCAGAGATGCAGAGGTACAGTGTGTCCTTGCTCAGCCTGTTTCTCCTAGACACAGCTCTGCCTTCCCCAGGCACAGCCAAGCTTGCAGCCCCAGAAGTTCAGGTGAAAGTGCTGCTCTGGGTCACTAGTGCTCAGGACTGAGCAGAGCTGTTACTGTCCTAGCGGGCTGGCAAAGGGGGTAGTGCCCAGTGGTTTTGTGGCTACTGTTTACCCTTACCAATATCCGTCTCACATGGGAATTGCAATCATCCATGTCTAAGAACCTTCTTAGAACGATGTGATGAGGCTTCTGCAGCTCTTTTTGGCAGCAAGGGCAGTGAACATCCTGGGCAGCCAAAATTGTATTTGGAGCTATGTTTCTGTACCATATTCAAGGTTTGGCATTCATGAAGTGTCCATCCCTGGCTAGATTTGGGTGTTGTTCTTTCTGATTAGTCTCTATTTTGCCATGGTTTATCACATCATATTTCAGTCATGGCCTCTCATCCCATCCCCTCTGACCCATGCAGTGATGGGAAGCCACAAGAGTTGCCATAACTGATCCTAACACCTTTTTTCCTTGCCATGGCCTTGGTCTCCACCCCACACAGGGCTGCTTTGGGTTCCCTCACCACTGTGCAGCTCTGCCCAGGCATCCTGTGAGCAGGAGCAGGGAAGCAGGTCCCTTCTGCACTATTATTTCTTTGACATGTGGGTGAGAGTGGAAGGAAGTGCTGGCCATGGTCATAGCTGGCAGGAGAGCATGTGACTGGGAGAGGAAATTCTCACAAGAAAAAATCTGCAAACCACAGATAGGTCCCAGAGTTACCAAAGTTGGAAAAAGAGCAGCTCCTTTTCTTACACACTGTATATGGCAGAAAATGAACACGAATTGTGAGCAGGCAGGAGTGTCAATCCCTTCCTTCCAAATATAGGGAAGGGGCTGAACCAAGAGGACCAAGCTGAGCCTATAAAAGCAGTCGGGGAGAAAGCCCTTGGTGGCTCCCAATGTCCTGGCCAAGCTCATGGCCATGCTGTGACTGACCTGCAGAGTGGCAGAGGGCTCCTGCCACAGGTCCTGTTCCCTGTGCTTGGAACTTCGCAAGGTTGTAGCGCTGCCGTGGGAATTCTGCTGTGGATTCCCTGCTGGGCCATTTCTTGGGCAGGGAAGGGCAGATCTCTGGTGAACTGTGCTGGCCCTCAGCAGGCGCAGTGGCTTGCAGTAAGTGAGGGGTGTCAGGCCTTTGGAGAGGCTGTAGCTTTGGTGAAGTCTGACCTTCCACTCTTTCTCTTGCAGAGATCTGAGATGTCAGCCTGTTCCTTCCTGCTTTCTGTTGACTGATTGTTAAGGTGAGAATTTAAGGCATGAAAACTAACATCTTGCCCAGGCTGGCATGAGCTGATTTTTCCCTTGCACTCACCGTGGACAGGTCCCTGTTCTTCCTCCTGCATGAGCTGCTCGTGTCCATTCCTGCCCGCTGTGGCTGCCCACCAGAGGACTAGGACAGGCTCCATGTTGATAGGGAGTGGGGGAAGTCATAAATGAAAAACCAGGAAAAAGACAGTCTTCAGGGCTTCACTTTTTCTAAGCACTATGTTAATCCTTTAGAGATCCCTCCCCTTTGCCACACTTCCACTGGGAGCCATCCTGCTCCTTTGGGCATGGATCTCCTTTCCCTGGGGCCATAAAGGGTGGCAGCTCCTTTTCACTAGGTTTGTACATTCCAGCTTTGAAAGACAAACATCTCCCCGAAGACCTGCAGCAGGTGAGGGCTGGGAGGGGTGAGCTCAGAGCAGACAGCTGGGAAGGGCTGTGGATGTTCAGCTTCACTCTGCTCTAAGGACTGCCCAGGGGACCAGCACAGGGTGTGTCTTTCAGCTCCAGCCATGAGCAGAGACGCTGCCATGGAAGTTTTTGGTGAGGCTGCACCGTACCTGCGCAAGTCAGAGAAGGAGAGAATAGAAGCCCAGAACCAACCATTTGATGCCAAGACCTACTGCTTTGTGGCTGACCCTGAGGTGGAGTACACCAAAGGGAAGATCAAGGCTGCACAGGATGGGAAGATAACTGTGGAGACAGAGGATGGCAGAGTAAGTGCATTTCTCCTGGTCCTGCTGAGGGACCCAGGGCATTGCTGGGGAGGGCAAGGAACGGGGGAAGCACCAGAGTAGCTCAGGCAGGAAATCTGCCCTGCTCTGCCCTCCAACTGGGACCAGCACAGCCTCCAAAGGAAAGCATAGCTCTGAATGCTGGGATACAGTTATTCATTGGATAATTATTCTTAGTTTGGGCTTTAAAGAGCAGGCAGTGCTCTAAACCAGGTTAGGTCATTGCCTTGCCAGTCTTGGCATTCCTCAACCACTGCTTTTAACACTTTTTCAGTTAACATTGTCATATCCACTGATAAATTCTTTCCTTTACTGGTAGCAGAGCAGATAGATAAAATCTGAAAGTCCCCTTTGAATGTGATATTGTCGGTGTCACTGGCTGCAGTTTCCCAGAGGAGCCTCCAAGGTGTTACTCTTCCAAAAATGCTGAAATGTCATAGCAGCTCATGTCCTGACAACTTTTGTGACAATAATTGCAGAGGCTCAAAGAACCACCTCGACCAACATCTTGGCAGTAAATGCTACAAGAGTTTTAGAAAGCAAGTAAAGAGTAAGCAGTGATCCACAGCAGTCTCAGGGAAGTGACCGAGGCTGCACCAGGCTGAGATGCACAAGGTCCTGCTTTCCTAGGGCCTGACTATTTTATGTCCATTTGGACTTTTTGCCCCTGCAGTGGCCTGTGGGAAAGATTTTCACACTTTTAAAATTGGATTAAGTGTAAAGTCCTTCCTTTTCTCTGCTATATGCAGCATTATTTTTTCTTTCGCAAGGAGTAGAAGAGAATAATTCTTCCTTGCTATGGCTATGGTTCTCTCTGCTGTTCCGGACTTTGCAAACTTTGAAAGTGTCTCCTTTTCACCCCCAAACTCTCAGGTTGTACTCTCCTCATAAAAAAGCCATTTCATATGTGTGACCATCTTTGTTTCTCTTCTCTGGAGCGTTTCTAGTACAATTCTATCCCTTCTAAGAGGTGTGATCAGTAATGAAGGTGTGGATGAACTGATGGACACTTCCTACATAACACTCCCTTCTCTTCTCCCTTTCTTTTCTAACTATTCCTAATATTTTAAAGCTTCCTGCCCTCTCCTGAGCACTGAGCTGCCATTATGTTAGTAGTGACTCCCAGGTATGTGCTGTGAGGAGCAGTTAATGCACGATCTCTTGTTCTACATGGAGACTTCCTGCGAGTCCTAATTGCTCAGGTGTTTGAGTGCTTTAAAAAGGTATTTAGGGATACATATCACAAAGCTGCTTTTGAAAACTGGGCCTATAATTCTTGCTTTCTCAAAGGAGTCCAAGACCATTCCACTAGTCAGGACTTGAGGTAAGAAATAGTGTTCAGTCTTTCTGAATCAAATATGATTCCACACTATTTCCTCCTTGCCTTGGACTAGTCAGCTTGGACCAGTCCATGGGAGCAACAATTTCAGCAATGGATAAAAGCAGTGGGATAAGTCATCTGAATAAATTACAGCAGGATTTTCAAGCTCTTTCATGGTTCATAGTGGCTGAGATGAGCTGCTACCAGCTGTGAACATCTGCTTTCCTGTACATCTTCTGCCTCCCCCCCCCATCTCCACAGGCCCTGGCTGTGTGAGGGGGCAGTCACCCACAGTGTGAGCCCAGCAGACGGTGCTCTTTGGAAGACATAGAGCCATTCTTCAATTAGGAATGGCCACAGGCAGGCGTGGAACAAGTCAGTCCCAAAGCAGGATTTGCTATTGATGAATCTTGTGCTGAAGACCTGAAGTTCATAAGCAGCAATAATGTGTGGAAAGATCTGCTCCATCAGAAATCCTGTCTTTGTGCTTGTAGCAGTTCCAGAACAGTAAATGTACATCGTGTCAGTTTGACAGTATTGTAGAGCTCCTGGCTGGCAGCAGTGTTTGCCCTGAAATAGCCATATCCTGTTTTGCACAGTTAAGCAGAAAGAAAAAATATGAATTAGAGCAGCCTTACAGATGTTATTACTTCTCTGAGTTTGTGTCTCAGTGTGTACTTAAGAAAGGACTATTGAGAGTTGCTGAATCAAGGTTCACTCTTTCTTTCTGAATTATAGACAGTTGCTGTCAAACCTGATGATGTGTATGCCATGAACCCACCAAAGTTTGACAGAGTTGAGGATGTGGCCATGCTGACCCACCTGCATGAACCCGCCGTCCTCTACAACCTCAAGGACCGCTACAGCTCCTGGATGATCTATGTAAGTTCCCTCTTCTGGCAAAGGTGAAAGTACAGCCACAGGAGCTGGACTTCAGTGACTCTTCTGTTCCATTTTTTTTCCTGCAGACCTACTCGGGTCTCTTCTGCATCAGTGTCAACCCCTACAAGTGGCTGCCCGTGTACAACCCGGAGGTGGTGTTGGCCTACCGAGGCAAGAAGCGCCAGGAGGCCCCTCCACACATCTTCTCCATCTCTGACAACGCCTATCAGTTCATGCTCACTGGTGAGTTTCTCTATTTTGACCAGGTTCATAGAAAAAACTGTGTCAGAAATGCAGTTCTGCCAAGTGCCATTCCACTCCTGCCATGGGCTCAGTCACCTTTGCAGGGTGCTACCCCAGCTCCTTGGTCTGGGTCGTGGTGTAGATTGTCTGCTTAGTCTCCTAATTACTGTGCAACTATTTTAGCTCTGAATGATGCGAAACCTGCTCCAGACAGCTTTCCCTGTCTCCTGAATTTTTTTTTTTTTTTTATTTTTGAAGCATCTGCTGTTGTGCTGCACATTTATCTGCATTCCTGGTCTAAGTACTAAGCTAAGGACCATAACAGGGACCTCTGCAAAGGGCAGTTGCAGTTGGATAGGATACACTACCTGGGAAGTCCCTAGTCAGCACACCTGAACGTGGCTTCAAGCAACAGCAGGTAGATTCAGAACAGAGCTGGTAGAAATATTTTCACCAAAATACATGGGTTTAGTTTGAATAAGGTCCTGTCTTGTATTAAATATCAATAAAATTAGAAATGATAAAGATAGAAGCAAGAAAGACTGCAGCAATGGTGGAGGGGAAAAGACAAAAAGTGGAGTATAGGGAGGGGAAGAGAGGAGGAGAGAAGACCATGCAGCTTTTCAGTTTTGCCTGCAGAGATTTTGTTTCATTCCCTCTGATGGACACAGTTGCCTGAGAACCAGCACTTTTCCCTACAGCTTCTCTGACTGCAGGTATTTTTCCCTTTGACAGATCGTGAAAACCAGTCTATCCTGATCACGTAAGTACATCTGTCACTTTGGGCTTTGTGTCCAGCAAAAAGGGGCTGGATTTTTCTTGACTGTGCTTTCTTTCAACAGCGGGGAATCTGGTGCCGGGAAGACTGTGAACACAAAACGTGTCATCCAATACTATGCAACCATTGCAGCCAGCGGGGACCCAGCCATGAAGGAGTCTGGGATGAAGGTGTGAGGAAGAGGGGTTGGCAAGGGGCAGTTCAGGATGTCCACTTGTGGCTGTGGACAGCACTGGTGACAAACATTTCCCTCAAGATATCTTTTATTAGCCTCAGTCACTCTCTCAAAAGGCAGCAGGACCAGGGGCTGATGTGCAGGTACGACCACAACAAATACAAGCCACTGGAGCTGCCACTGACACTGCACAGGTGTAGCTTTACCTGGTCTGAAACCAGGTCTGTGGGATTGGTGTCCGGGAAGAATCAGAGTTTTCCTCACATGGATCAGTCTGTCCCTGTGGCTGAGACCTGAGAACTCTGACAATGAGAGAAATTCTGAATAAGAGGCAAATGACTCATTCACTATTTACCCCCAGTGCTGGTTCTTGGTGCTGGAGTCGAAAAGGTGCTGCAGTAGCACTGCACAGCTGAAATGAAAGGCACATGGCTGCACATATAATCATACCATAGGTTCACTTCTTCCTACCACAAAGCTCATGGTGTTTTTCAATAATTATTCAATTATTCCTGCAGGGTACACTCAAGGATCAAATCCTCAGCGCCAACCCACTGCTGGAGGCCTTTGGGAATGCCAAGACAATGAGAAATGACAACTCCTCACGCTTTGTGAGTCATCCTGTGTCTGTCTCTGCCCTCCTGCATTTCTAATGCTCTTTACCTGCTTGTTAGTTGCAACTGGGAGCCCCTGGGCTGGGAAAAATGTTCTTGTTGACCAGTTTTCGTGGTTGGTTGTGAGATGCTGATGTGTTTGCAGCTGTTTCATGCTCACAGCTATCTGGGCTGCAGCAAACTGTTCCCCATTATCTAGATTTGGATATCTAAGCTAATTCAGACTGATTTGGAGGTGCTGTCACTGAAACTCAAGAGAGAAAACCAGAGATTGCTGCACTGACCACTGTCTTTTGTCTGCTTGCCAGGGTAAATTCATTCGTATCCATTTTGGAACCTCTGGAAAACTGGCGTCTGGTGACATTGAGACCTGTGAGTGACTGAGGGGGGCTGACTGCTCTGCTAGAAGGCGAAGAGCCTGAAAAATTTCTATGCATACATATTACAGACCTGCTGGAAAAGTCAAGAGTCACTTTCCAGCTGAAAGCTGAGAGAAGCTACCATATCTTCTACCAGATCCTCTCCAATAAGAAGCCTGAACTGCTTGGTAAGGACAGCCATCGCCTGGTGACATTAAGTAAAGTCACTGTGGGAAACATTTCCCCTCAACATGCCAGCTCAGTGATGGAGGGTCCAGTGGCAACTGCTGCCCTGGTGCCATGTGTCACCTGCCCCCAGGTCCTCCTTTGGCAGTGCCTCAGGCTGTGCAGAGCAGGGACACTTTGGTCATGCTTATTTACATCCCTGACACCACGGTGTTGGCCAGGCCAGGGATACCTGCTGTGCACAGCACTGGTGTCTCTGTGTGACAGGGGACACACTCAGGGTTACTCCACCTCCCATTTATTCTCCCTGGGTAAGTTCTAACTGTGTGCAGGTGAGGTGCAGGGGTGAATGGCTTTCCTCTGTCTTCCTTGTCTCTTAATAGAAAACCAAGACTTTGGGATGCAAAAGGAAGGAGAGCTTGTGAAATCTTGCTGAGCCATTGTTCCAACTACCCTGCTAAGTTCTGGCTCTCACTCCTGTGTTTGCCTTTCAGAGATGCTTCTCATCACTGCCAACCCATATGACTACCCCTTCATCAGCCAAGGGCAGATCTCTGTGGCGAGCATTGATGACCAGGAGGAGCTTGTTGCCACAGATGTGGGTACAGTTAATGAGGACAGTCTCACTCTTACTCTCACCACTGCTATAACCAGCTGATCTGTCTCATCTGCAGGCAGCCATTGGCATTTTGGGCTTCAGCCCTGATGAGAGAATGGGGATTTACAAGCTGACAGGGGCAATCCTGCACTATGGAAACATAAAGTTCAAGCAGAAACCACGTGAGGAGCAAGCAGAGCCAGATGGCACAGAAGGTAATACTTTCATGGCTGTGAGAGAACTATTTCCAACTGGTTTCCATACCATTTTTCACTAGAAACAGCAGGAGTTTTCCAGGAGAGATGCAGTTGTTCCATAATGACCACAAAAAAAAAGGTTTGGCTTTCAGCTTACCAGCTCCAGTAGAGTCACTTTCTGCATCCACTTTATTCCTGATGACTCTGCTGAAGGACCTTGTGCCTAGGACATATTATTACTGTAGTGTTCACGAGTTTCTGGTCACACATCCAGACTTGGGCTGCTTGGGTGACGTTGTGGAGAAGTGACTCGAAGGGAAAACCACTCTTGTCCCATTACCAATGCCCTCACAGCTTCCACCACATCAGCTAGGGCTGCCGTAGCCATTCCATCACGAGGACCAGCTCTACAAGACTGTTCAGAAGAGTAAATGAGAATGTTAGTCAAGCTTTGTGGATAGGCTAAAGCCACCCACGTTGCAGGTTTCGGAGTGAGCTCTGGCTGGTCCCAATGCACTCTGTAGGTCTAAGCTAAGAAGAAAGTATTTCAGCTTATGATTTTGTTTTCCAGAGGCTGACAAAGCAGCATATCTGATGGGCCTGAATTCAGCAGACTTGCTGAAAGCTTTGTGCTATCCCCGGGTGAAAGTGGGAAATGAATATGTCTTGAAGGGCCAAACAGTGGATCAGGTGAGTGTCAAGGAGCAGCAGGGACCATCCTCTGCCTAAAGGAAGGAATGGGTACAGGTCACAGCTGAGCTGGTCAGGACCATTAGGGGCTGTTAGTGCACTGTGTGGGCTGTGTACCTGGGCACGCTGAGGGTTTATTCTGGTGGGGCCCTGGCAGTGCCCTGACAGAGGTGTGTGAACCATCTCCCTGCAGGTGCACCAGGCAGTGAGTGCCATTGCCAAGTCAGTCTATGAGAAACTCTTCCTGTGGATGGTGATGCGCATCAACCAACAGCTGGACACAAAGCTGCCAAGGCAGCACTTTATTGGGGTCTTAGACATCGCTGGATTTGAGATCTTTGAGGTTTGATTTTATACAGCACTCTCAGACTTCTGGCTGTCTTTAAATTCTTTTTCATTTTGTTTGACTTCTATGACCTTTCCTCCTCCTCACCTCAGTGCAACCCTCAAGAACAGGGCAAATCTCTCTGAAGCTGCTTCTGCCTTTGTAGATCCATCACCTACTTTGTAAGAGAAGAGACATGGCAGAAGCATAGAAATGAATCTGCTGTCCCCCTCCCCACAGAATCTGCATTTAGTGACATTAGGGCCATCCAAAAACATAGCCAGTGCAGGCTACAGCAACCATGTGCTGCACAGCGCAACTTCTCTGTAAGCCTGGACCGCCCATGGTGTATTCTTTACACTGTTATCAAAACCCTTCTGAGACAGCCTGGCTGACTTTGCTATGACGTCTCTGTGAAATAAATTGATTGGAGGCAGTTTAACATTACTAACACACTTACTCAAACGTTAGTTCAACAGCTTTGAGCAGCTGTGCATCAACTTCACCAACGAGAAACTGCAACAGTTCTTCAACCACCACATGTTCGTGCTGGAGCAGGAGGAGTACAAGAAGGAGGGAATTGAGTGGACATTCATTGACTTTGGGATGGACCTGGCTGCCTGCATTGAGCTTATAGAAAAGGTGAGTTTCTTAAGCATCTTTGGCACTCACACAAATTGGATCTGGAAGGGATTCTTGAGAGTGTTTGCATTGAGTGCCTTCAATGCAGTCTCCCTGTGAAGCTTTCAGTTCTCCTCACCTCCTCTGTTCCTTCAAACATCACCTTTGTGATTAATTATCTACTGACTGCGAATGTATTCTGTCTTCTAAAAAGACACTGCTCTTTCTTTTCTTTCTTTTGCTCTTTCTTTTTTTTTTCTTTCTTTTCTTTCTTTTCTTTCTTCCTTTCTTTCTTTTTCTTTCTTTCTTTTTTTTTAAATTTTTTTCTTTCTTTCCCTTCCTTCCTTCCTTCTTCTCTTTCTCATTATAAATTGTCATTTTTCATTGTCACATTTACCCCAGTTGTCCTCTGCATATTGGTTCCTGCTCAGGTTTCCCTCTCAGTTAAATTCAAAGCCTGATGTCTGCTTGCTTTTTGTTCCTTCTGGGTAAGGAGAAGTCACTACTGTATTCTAAGAAGTTACTACACAGTTTTTGCTTGGCTTCTTTTGTTTTCCAGACACTGTCTGTGTACTTCAAAACTATTCATGAAAATCTTTTGAGTGCTTTTGAATATCTTGCTAGCTGTTCACAACAAATCTTGCTTACTTGCTCCTTCCAGGCTAATTCTCTATAAAATACCTCCAGTACTTTAATTTGAGCATTTCTTTTACTCTGTATTATTGTAACTTGAATTTATCTTATTTGAAAACACCCTTTTTCTATTCAGCCCATGGGCATCTTCTCCATCCTGGAAGAGGAGTGCATGTTCCCCAAGGCAACTGACACCTCTTTCAAGAACAAGCTCTATGACCAGCACCTGGGCAAATCCAGCAACTTCCAGAAGCCCAAGCCTGCCAAAGGCAAGGCTGAGGCCCACTTCTCCCTGGTGCACTACGCTGGCACAGTGGACTACAACATCACTGGGTGGCTGGAGAAGAACAAGGACCCCCTGAATGAAACTGTCATTGGGCTGTACCAGAAATCATCTGTGAAGGTTTTATGCCATCTTTATGCTGCCTTTTCTTCCATAGATGAAGGTAAGATCAGAGGATTATGCTTGTTCCTACTGTACCTGTCATGTGACATGAGTCACTGTTGAGCCAGTGCTCATGTGCCGTGTGTTAGATGCACAATTATAACCCTGTGAAAGGGTTCTGCAGCTGGACTGTCATCTCATTTTCCAGCTGAAGGTGGTGGAAAGAAGAAAGAAACCAAGAAAAAGGGCTCTTCCTTCCAGACTGTGTCTGTGCTCTTTCGGGTAGGTGTGTTCTCTGCTGGGAGGGCAGTACTGTCACCCCTGGCTGCACAGGATCACCAGCCCCACTTTCTCTGTGGCCACTCTGTGGCAAGTTACATCTGGGATATGGCAAAGGTTGAGTTCTGCTTTGCTGCTGAGGTCCAGTGGGATGGTGGTGGAGAAGGGAGGTGATGTGCTTTGTCAGCACGGGTAGCTGTCTTTGCTTCGCCCTTTGGTGCTACCAGCATCCTTCCCTTCTTTGGCTGTCACTGGCTTCTTCCAGCATGTGTCCCTCTGAGAACACTGTGTGGCAGCCAGTGCCTTGCAGAAAGTGTGGGCAACACGAGTTATGTGTTGCAGCCCTAATGCTGCTGTGATGCATCTACACCTGAGGCCAGAAACAGGCTGGTCCCTTCCTGGCAGGATGAGGAGTGCATCATCCCCTGGCTGAGACATGGGCCACACTCAGAATGTGTCATTCTTGCATGAGATGGTTAAAGAATTGCACTACCCTGCAGAACAGATGACTTATGATGTCATAGACAAACATTGATTTTGTAGCTCAATTATATTTTAAATATATGTAACTAATATATCTAAGTAATAAAAGCAAGAAATTAATCCATTTATTTATTTGATCAAAACTTCTTTTGATCAAGAAAGACCATATATATATGTATATATATGTATATATATATATATGTGGTATCCCAGAATATAGTTCATTTTCTTCCATTCTGGTCCTTTTTAAGAGCTCTTATGATGAGCCTTGAACTACTAAAGGACACATTTTCATTTTAAGACAGGAGGAGAATTCTCCAATTGTATCCACTGTTAGTAGCCATTTACTTTGCTGATGCCTACACAGAACTGTAGAATATTCACTAGAGGAGTAAGGAAAAACTTCTGAATTTTGATTTTCGTCAGAGTCAAATCCCACTGAGAACTGAAGTAATACAGAGATTGCAAATGATCTCTGTTTTACAGGAAAATCTAAACAAGCTGATGTCCAACTTGCGAACAACTCATCCTCACTTTGTGCGTTGCATCATCCCCAATGAAACAAAGACCCCAGGTAATGCATAAAACGCAGATTAGAAAGGGGCAGAAAGAGGAGTTGACCAGTGCTGAACCCATTAATACATCCCCACGTTGCTCTGTCACAGGCCTCATGGATCACAAGCTCGTTCTGCACCAGCTGCGGTGTAACGGTGTCCTGGAAGGTATTCGGATCTGCAGGAAAGGATTTCCTAACAGGATTCCATATGGGGATTTTAAACAAAGGTCTGTAATTGCATCCTGTGTTTGTATCGAGCCCAATTCGTTTGAGAGAAGAGTTTTGCTAAACCAATCAATGATATAGTTGCTAGGAAAAGACTACTTTAATATTTAACAACTATGGAAAGCATGAAGACATATCTAGTAGGCGTGGTCGGTATGGGCAGTGCCCACCCAAATACTTTCCTGAATACTGTACACCAAAACCTATTTTCAAGTTCATTCATGTTCATCTGAATGTTTGGGTATTCTTTGCTTTAATTCTCAAATTTGACACAAGCTTGTTTCAGCAAAAATGCAGAGGGTGGTCTATGCACGTCCTGTATTTAACCACTATCTAGTAGAGGTTTGAAGAATGTGGTTTAATTAATTCTTACTAGAGTGGTTTCACTGAGAGAAAATTGTGTTAAACCAAATACCACTTTCTGATGAAATGCCAAGTTTGACTGGCAAATAGGGCTGCAGTAACAAAAGGGACTTGAGCAGGACATCTCAGCTAGTTCCACATGGCCCTCTCATTTTGTACTGAGCTAACATTTCTACATGCTGACATTTCTACAGCATTAGCACATTAATTTATAAGTAAAAACCCCATGACCAAACAATCTTAACTTGGGAACTGCTGTGCAAATAAGACATTTATAAATGGTTGCTAAATCTAGGGCAACCCAGCTGGGGTCGTCTGCTCGTTGTGTTTGAACAAAAGCAAATGTAGGGTCAGATCTCTAAGAACAAAGAAATCACACACACCCCCCCTTACAGGTCTGGGCAGGGTGTGCTGGAGAGCAAGACACTGAGAAGGGCTGAACTGGTATTTGGAGCACTAACAATGTCCGGGGAGGGGGTGATGTGGGTGGGCAGATTTGTGAAAACAATAGGAGTGGAATAATCTTTCAGTGTAGTCCACTGCTGGCTATTATGTCTAATTCTGGGTTCCATGCTTCGGGAGGAACAGGAGAAGCTGTATATGGTTCAGAAGAGAGCTACAGGAAAAATGTGAACTCAAGTGCAGGGAGAGATTGAAATCAAACTATGCTGGTGAGGCCCTGGCACAGGTTGCCCAGAGAAGCTGTGGTTGCCCCATCCCTGGAAGGGTTCAAGACCAGGTTGGAGCAACCTGGGCTAGTGGAAGGTGTCCCTGCCCATGGCAGGCGGTGGAACTGGATGATTTTTAAGGTCCCTTCCAACCCAAACCATTCTGTGATTCTATTTAACTCATGAAATTGAATGTTAACAGATGATTTGTTTGTGGTGTTGAGAACCTACAGATGTAAAGAGGATGTAAAGCAGGAAGCTGTTTGCTAAAAGACGAACTTAAAGAGTCCAAAGGCGTGACCTGAAAAAGGATGTTGTCAAGGTAGAAGTGAAATATTACCTTTCCTACAGTGAGGGTGAATAGTTTACCTGGGACACTCCCGAGGTTTGAAGGCTTCAGATAAGATAGAAATTTCTTCTTTTTTTTTTTTTTTTAAATATATACTAGCTTAATCACAAGAGGACTGAATGAACAAGGGTCTGGGAGGACTACGTGTCAGTTATACAGGAAGTCAGATTAACTGCAGTAGGTCCCCTATTCCTAAAATCCATTTATTCTTTGAATTTACAGCTAACCCAGTGAGCTGTCCCCGTACAACAGTGATAATGACTGTGACACACATGAGCAGTGTCTCTCAGGTCCAGAGAACAGACCGTCCAAGCCCTCAGTCTCAGTGAGGGCTGTAACACATCCGTGGATCCTACTGAACTGACCTGCTGCTATTTGCTGTTTTTCTTACAGCTTTGCTATTTGAGGCTGGAGGTGTGAGTCAGACTCAGCCTTCCTCTGCATCTTCAAACTGACAGCTGTTCTTGTGGCATCCTGTGCACTAAAATGATACTGATGGGTAAGTTTTTTCCTTTATTTTGTCAGATACCGCCTTCTGAACGCTGGTGTCATTCCAGAGGGAAAGTTTATTGACAGCAAGAAGGCATGTGAAAAGTTGCTGTCTTCCATTGAGATAGATCACACTCAGTACAAATTTGGACAGACTAAGGTAAAATGTTTAATTTTGCCATGCAATGAGAACATTCATTGCATTGAAATGTGAGCCCAGCAATGAGTGATCTCTGTTCCTTGGCTGCAGGTGTTCTTCAAGGCAGGTTTGCTGGGTGTCCTGGAAGAGATGCGAGATGATTGCTTAGGACAGCTGATCACATGGACCCAGGCTTTGTGCAGGGGATACCTCAGGAGACTTGAGCTGAAAAGAATGTTCGACCAAAGGTGTGTGTCCTCTGCGAGCTCTGATTGCTCAAAGATGGGCTTTATTCACAGTACTGATGGAGCACTTTGGTTTCAGAGAGTCCATCCTCTGCATCCAGTACAACATCCGTGCATTCATGAAAGTCAAGCGGTGGCCCTGGATGAAGCTGTACTTCAAGTTAAAACCTCTCTTGAAAAGTGTGGAAACTGAAAAAGAAATGGCCACAATGAAAGAAGAGTTTGAGAGAACAAAAGAAGAACTGGCTAAATCAGAAACCAAGAGGAAAGAACTAGAAGAGAAAGTGGTGATTCTGGTGAAAGAGAAAAAGGATCTGCAGCTGAAAGTACAGATGGTACGTAATTTAAACCAGATTTGGCTCTTCAGATTACATCAGTTTTGTCTGAGTGTTCAGGAAAGGGCTGAAAGCAAATTCTGTTATTTCATGTTCCAGTCGCTTAATGAGCAGGTGATTTCTGCAAGTGTCAGTGCCAATGTGTGACAATGAAACACATTTCTGTTTTCTGTAAAAGGAAAATGAAAATTTGGCTGATGCTGAAGAAAGATGTGACCAGCTGATCAAAGCAAAATTCCAGCTGGAAGCAAGAATAAGGGAGATAATGGAAAAGCTGGAGGATGAAGAGGAGATAAATGCTGATCTGGCAGCCAAAAAGAGGAAACTGGAGGATGAATGCTCTGAGCTGAAGAAAGATTTTGATGACCTCGAGTTAACATTGTTCGAGGCTGAAAAGGAAAAGCATACCACAGAAAACAAGGTGCTTTTTATTTCTGCTATTTGCATGTTTAATAACATTTGCTCTGTCTGTGTATAGGCTGTAAAGGTTCAGTCAGCTTGAACACTAACAGGAGTTCAAGTATAAGGAAATCCATGGGCCTGGTGTTGAATTTGGTCACAACTGTTGTGCAGGAAAACCAACCCATAATCATACAAAAATTCATAAAATCAAAGTTCAACATTGCTTTGTGACTTCTGAAGGGTTGATATATAAGCAGAGAGATTGTATAGTTTGACCATATAATGCAAGTAAATAAGTCTCTTTGGCAGTCTTTTAATGAGTTCATTGCCTGTGTTCATTGATTATATAAAGGCCAAAATTATTAGTGACTTTCAAGTGTTTTGCCTTACAATAGGTGAAAAATCTGACTGAAGTAGTGACAGGTTTGGATGAGACTGTTGCAAAGTTAGTCAAGGAGAAGAAGACTCTGCAAGAAGCCCAGCAACAGGCTCTGGATGACCTGCAAATTGAGGAGGACAAAGTTAATAACCTCACCAAAGCCAGAATCAAGCTGGAGCAGCAAGTGAACCATGTGAGCATGTTCAACACAAGGAGAAGGGGCAGATTCTTCAGTTGTTCCATCAGTTGTGTTTATATATGTTTCTGTTACAGGTTGAAGGATCTTTAGAACTGGAAAGAAAAGTGTGTGTGGATCTTGAACGAGCAAAGAGAAAGCTTGAGGGAGACTTGAAACTTGCACAGGAAACCATAGTGGATCTGGAGAATTATAAACAACATTTAGATGAAAAATTAAGGAAGTACGAGGAAAAAAATGTGACAAATTTACTATTTGGTTTTAACTGGACATATTTTCTTTTTATTAAAAGAACATTTCCTTCACAGGAAAGACTTTGATTTCAACCAGAAGCAAAATAAAATTGTGGAACGGCAGAATTCAGGTACTCAATTGCAGAAGAAGATCAGAGAATTGCAGGCAAGATACTTCATGTAACTATTTCGTCATTACTGTTTGCTTGTTTAAACTGCAGTACCATGAACAATGCTTGTCCATGGTTTGGCATCGGCTCCATCAGACATGGGGGAAGCAGCTTCTCACAGAAGCCACTCGTGCTTCTCCCCACTACCAAAACCTGTCCACACAAGCCCCATACAACAAGAGAGAGCTGAGATCTAAAGTTACCATGAGTGGATCCATAGGTCCTTTCCTGTTAGTAACTCTTTGCCTACATTGCCAAAACAGTGGAATTTGAAAGGAGTTTGTTTTGCTTATAATCTCCAAAATAAGGGGCTTGGTGTTCTCCTGTGACAAATACACATTAACCTAAGCACTGAATTGCCTGTTCCCTATTTAATTCCTGATGTGCTATTCCCTCATTATTCAGGCCCATGTTGCAGAGCTGGAGGAGGAGACTATGAGTGAGAAAGCGACACGGGCAAAAGCAGAGAAGCATCATGGTGAGCTGGCTCAGGAACTTGAGCAAATCAGAGGAAGCCTTGAAGAGGCTGGAGGAGCCACCACTGCTCAAACAGAACTTAACAAGAAGCGGGAGGCAGAATTCCAGAAGATGCGCCGGGACCTCGAAGAGGCCACGCTGCAGCACGAAGCCACGGCTGCCGCCCTGCGCAAGAAGCACGCGGACAGCACAGCTGAGCTGGGGGAGCAGATCGACAACCTGCAGCGCGTCAAGCAGAAGCTGGAGAAGGAGAAGAGTGAGCTCAAGATGGAGATTGATGACTTGGCCAGGAGTACAAAGACCATTACTAAGTCCAAGGTGTTTCTTTACAAGTTAAATACTTGAATTGCCAATATTTCTGTCTGGTGGGAATTTAATGCCATACAAACACACCTACACAGGTTTCACTTTCTTACTCTCTTTCAGGCTAATCTGGAAAAAAGGTATCGGACCCTGGAAGACCAGATGAGCGAGATGAAAGCCAAATCTGAAGAGAACCAGAGGAATTTGAATGAGATGGTGATACAAAAAGCCCAGCTCCAGACAGAGTCTGGTAAGGAAGGCACAAAGATGTGCTGAGAGGATATGTTTTTCCTTCAGTAGCAAAGAGGTTCTCTAGTGTGTGCCATGAGTGAGACCTAATTGTTCATTGGTACAGGCCCAGGTAACATTAGTAATAAATCAAAGGAAATGAGTTCATGAGGGACACTTTAGAGTTCATGTGCCAGTTGCAAGCATTATTTGCTTAGGTAAATGATTCTCAGAATGATGTGACATAGCTCACTTATTTCATGCAGGGGAACTGCGAATCTGGGACAGTCCAAAATTATTTGAGCAGCCTGTTAGAACTGCCCAGAGTGCACATGTTCACTGTGTGTGCAGCATCTGTTTTGTGTTCCCATCATGGAGCTTGTTGCTGCACCAAACATGCTCCTTTGAACTGTGCGAGTGATGAGTGTGAACACTCCTTGGTCTGGTTGACTACAGGGTCAGACATCCCAAATCCCATCTGATGAAAACAGGAGCCCAAGAGTCTTCCTGACTGGTCCCTCAGTAAGATCCTCTGCTGAGCCAAGAACTGGGAGTGGCCTTCAGGTGCTGTCCCTACTAGGGAGAGATGGGTGAGTGTGTGTGAGTGAGCCGTGGAGGAACACGTGGATGTGCTGTGTTCAGAGTTGCCTAGCACTAATAGTAACAGCTCGAGGCCACTAACTGTAGAAACTTAATTGAGAAAAGTTGTTCCAATAAATATCAGATGTGATTTCCTTTCCTTCTCAGGGAAAAGGAATGTACAACACTTCTAGATGTCATGTGGGAACACATAGACCATAACCAAATTTGTTCTTATTTTCTTCTGAGTGATCTTTTGGAAGTGGTCGTGCTTGCAAGATGATTCTGTGATTCTATGACCAGTTTGTTGTAAGGTCATTGAGCATAGTGCTCAAGGGGAATCTTAGAACAAAACTGAAAACTTGAGAAAAAATGTAAAATGGCTCAGGAAAAATCTGAAAAAAACAATATTGGAGGGCTACAAGAAGTTCCAAGAATTCTAGAGATAATGACATGACCCATAGGCACCTCTCCAAGAAACGAGACAGGTGTCCTTCAGCCCACAGGACAGAGGGTGGTATGGAATATATGTTTTCCAGTTATTGTAAATATTATGAAGTGAAACTTTAGGGCTTACCTTTTGTATCACAGTTTTTGTATCACCAATTATAGGAAGCTGCTAAAGCACTTTTTGTCAGTTCAGCCAGTGTGACAGCATAAAATCCTACTGCTTCAAAATGAAAACTAGGCTTTAAAAGAAAAAATTAAGTGAATTTTCTAAAGCAAATTTGTCTTTAGGAAAAAAAAAATTACAGGATGCTTAATCTGGACAAGTCTGAGAACTTGTCCTCTGTTGTCACAGGTGAACTACGCCATCGACTCAAAGACAAAGAGACTGTAACGCTGCAGCTGTTGAGAAGCAAACAGGCACTTACACAGCAAATGGAGGAACTCAAGAGGCAGTTAGAGGAAGAGATTGAGGTAATGAGAGCTACTGAACACATGCAAGGCTTCAAAATGTGTCAGGGTCTCAGTTCACTTAAAAAACACTTTTGGAAGTGTGTAAGTATTGCCAACAGACTAACAGAATAAAATTACTCTTGAGAAGGATGTGTACAGTGAGCACTGTGTTAAGTTCTTTGCAGATGACTGACATGCTAGAAGTGATTTACGTTTTTAAATTTTAAAACCATAGTCCATGTGATTTCTTTTGCTTCTGTAGCTGCAGGGAAGAAAAGTTACAGCATATGCCAAGGTGGAAGCATCAGTCTTGGTCTTTTCTAGGTGTAGAGCTGAGAAAAGTTGGTGGCAGCTGAAGGCAGCTGCCTGAACACTTATAAAGCCCCAGCCCTTTGCCCTCTGCCCAAGCTACAGTGACCATATTTGAGGTGTGCAGGGTCATGGGGTTGCCTGCCAGTCACAGCCAACACAAATACATAATATTATGGGTAATTTTTAGGCCAAGAACGCCCTGGCCCACGCCCTGCAGTCCGCTCGCCACGACTGTGACTTGCTCCGGGAACAATATGAGGAGGAGCAGGAAGCCAAGGGGGAGCTGCAGCGCGCCCTGTCCAAGGCCAACAGCGAAGTGGCCCAGTGGAGAACCAAATACGAGACGGACGCGATTCAGCGCACGGAGGAGCTCGAGGAGGCCAAGTACGTGGGGAGTGGGATGAGCTGTCCAGATGTTACATATATTGTGCAGGACATAGATCTACTTTTAGTAGCCCAACCTGAATTATTTTAGTGGGATTTGCAATACTCTTAGTTAAAATGACATACATACTGCAATGATTTTTTTCAATCATATGCATGTTTTATTTATGTTCCTTAAGGAAAAAACTTGCTCAGCATCTCCAGAAAGCAGGAGAACAGGCAGGGACTGTGAATTCCAAGTGTGCCTCCTTGGAGAAGATGAATTTGAAGTTGCAGGGGGAGGTGGAGGATCTGACGCTGGACGTAGAGAGAGCAAACACATCAGCAGCTGCCCTGGACAGGAAACAGCAGAACTTTGATAAGGTGATAAGTGAGCACAGTGTCTTTTAAGTGTAGCCCCAGATAAAATAATATTTTCAGTACTAGCAGGAAATAAAACATAATAGCCTCTCCTATTAGGAAAGGCTGAGAGAATTGGGATTGTTCACCCTGGAAGAGAAGGCTTCAGGGTGACCTAACTGGAGCCTTCCAGTACCTGAAGGGAGCTGACAGGAAGGATGGAGAGAGACTATTTACATTGGCCCGGAGTGACAGGACAAGGGGCAATGGCTTCAAACTGACAGAGGGGAGGGTTAGGTGGCTAATTGGGAAAAAATTCTTCCCTATGAGGGCACTGACAGAGGTTTCCCAGAGAAGTTGTGGCTGCTCCATCCCTGGAAGTGTTGAAGGGCAGCTTGGATGAAGCTCTGAGCAACCTGGTCTAGGGGAAGGTGTCCCTGCCCATGGCAGGGGAGTTGGAACTAGATATCTTTGAGGTCTCTTCCAACCCAAGCCATTCTACGATCCTATGATGTCTTTCAGGTCATGGCAGAATGGAAGGGGAAGTATGAGGAAAGCCAGCTGGAGCGGGAAGCTCTCTCTAAAGAATCGTGCTCGCTGGACAAGGAGCTTTTCAAAGTGAAAAATGCCTACAAGGAAAACTTAGATCAGCTTGAAACAATCAAACGGGAGAACCACACTCTCAAGCGTATGTGTTTGGCTCTGGTTTCCCTTTTGCTGCTGGAACAGGCTCCCCAGGGCAGTGGGCACAGCACCAAGGCTGACAGACCTCAAGGAGGGTTTGGCTGATCCTCTGGGGCACAGGGATGCCTGTGCCCCAGAGACTCTTGGGGATGGGCCTGTGCAAGGCTAAGGGTTGGACTCAGTGATCCTTGGGGGTCCCTTCCAACTCAGCACATTCTGTGATTCTGTGATTAGCTGCTCACAATCTTACCACAACAAGGCAGACACTCATGTCTGCAGGACGTGCACTGAGTGACAGGACTCTGTCATTACTGTGCTCTCCATCTTAATGGAGAGTGTCAATGTCTCACCAAAAGTTGTCAAGCAGGTTTGTAAAGTGAAAAAGCTAATAAAGCAAATGTCCTGGCTCTGTAGTATCTGCTGCAGAGACATCAAGGTGCCATTCCCAGGTGAAGGTGATGACCTCAGGAGGCTGTAACAGCTTGTGAAACTGAGATTTACAGATGTACTGAATGCAATGACAGGACCTGTAGGACACTGATGGCCTATCCAGAGACATAACACATGCAGGGCTCTTCCAGGCTCCCTGTAAGGAGGGCTGTGAAACCACACTAATGCCCCACTTGTCCTGCATGACTTGGTTGTGTCTGTTGTTATCTGTACATATTTGCAGACACATATACGACTGTGTACACATGTATGTATGTGTATACATATTTATACATGCAAAAGAGGTGCTGAACGCTGCCACAGAGCATAGAGTTCAGCTCCTCTGGTTGATGTCATTCTTCTCTCACAGAGGAAGTAGCTGATCTGACAGAGCAAATTACTGCAAATGGCAAAATGATCAGAGACCTTGAGAAAGCAAAAAAGCAAGTTGAAGTAGAAAAAAATGGTCTGCGATTAGCTCTGGAGGAGGCAGAGGTGAGTTAGTTTAAATATTACTGGAAAAAGTATAGAGCATGCTAAGCAGCTTTTTGTTCCTTTCCTGGCACTGCCTGTGTGCAATATTGATTGCCACAAACTTTTGGATTTTCTGTGAAGTCACTGATTATGTTCTCTGAAATGTTACCTTCATCTTTGTTTTTATCCTTTTTCTTTTAAAGGCAGCTCTTGAGCATGAAGAGGTCAAAATCCTTGCTGTCAACCAAGAACTAACTCAGATTAAGACGGAGATCAACAGAAAGATTGCTGACAAGGATGAGGAGATCAACCAGTTAAAAAAGAACCATGAAAGGACTGTGGAGACAATGCAGGGTGTTCTGGATGCTGAGATCAGGAGCAGAAGTGAATCTTTAAGGCTGAGGAAGAAGATGGAGGGAGACCTGAATGAAATGGAGATCCAGCTCAGCCATGCCAACCGCCAGGCTACAGAGGCACAGAAACACCTGCACAGCATCCAGGGAGCTCTCAAGGTCTTTGTTTACCTTGTGGTTGATTTATTTTTAAGCACAGTATTCGAGAATTTCGTTAGGACAAAACTGACTCTTCAAATTTAGGACACCCAGCTACACTTGGACGATGCTCTCAGGACCCAGGATGACCTGAAGGAGCAGGTGGCCATGGTGGAGCGCAGAGCAAACCTGCTGCAGGCTGAAGTTGAGGAGCTACGGGCAGCCCTGGAGCAGACGGAGCGGTCGAGGAAACTGGCTGAGCAGGAGCTCCTGGATGCCACTGAACGTGTGCAGCTCCTCCACACCCAGGTAGTTTCCTTTGCTAAGACTGACATATTTTGGGGTCCAGAGGTTCATGGAGTAAGAATGAATAGTAATTTGTGGTCTGTGTGTGTAAGAGACCAAAACCAGACACTCAAAGCCTCTCTCTTTCTTCTTTGTAGAACACCAGCCTTTCTAATACAAAGAAGAAGCTTGAAACTGATATGGCACAAATCCAAAGAGAGATAGAGGATGTTACTAATGAATCAAAAAGTGCTGAAGAAAGAGCAAAGAAGGCAATGACAGATGTGAGGATGTTACTGTGTTTTTCCCTTTGAATTTTCAGGGTTTCCAGAAGCTTTGCTGCTAGGGGTTAATGTAAATACTCCTGTCACGTGTTGTACAAGAACCAGTCTGTGGGCATGGTTGAAAAGGCTACCTGTCAGAAGAGGATTAGAACAACAGGGACCATGTCCTGCTGAGAGATGAGTTATTGGGGCTGTTGCCTTCATTTATGGACTAAACCCACATTTGGTTGGTTGTAAACAAATAACTTTCTTCAGTGCTGCAAGAATGTAATCCACAAAGAAATCCTGCAGTATTGAAACCACTACAGTGGCTAATGTATTTGAATAGTTGTCTTTGCAAAATCCTATTTAACAACTTTTTAAATGAGAATTGTAGATGTCCATTCAAAATTGGTGCTAAATCCTCCCATACAAGGCCTGTGAAGCTCAGCCAGGCCATAGGGCTGGTATGTCATGGAACTCAACCTGTTAATCATTTTTGATGCAGAGGAGCAAACCAAAATCTTAACACTTAAATACATTATTTGGAGTTAAAATAGAAAGAAAACTTTTCCACTTGCTCATGAAAACGAAAAAAAAAACTAAATAAAATCACAGAATCATTAGACTTGGAAAGGATCTCTGGAGATCATCCAGTCCAACTCCCATGCCCAGGCAGGGTCGCCTGGAGCAGGTGACACAGGAATGCATCCATGTGGGTTTGGAATATCTCCAGAGAGGGAGACTCCATACCTTCCCTGGGCAGCTGTTCCAGTACTCTCCATCCTCCATGGAAAGAAGTTCTTCCTCATTTTGATATGGAACTTCTTATTTTATAATAACTTCTATTCTGTTTGAATAATTGAGAAATAGAACATTACAATAAATTATACACACACGCATACACACATATATATAAAATATCTTGTGCCATTATTTTATTCTCACATTTTTCAATATACACTTTTTCAGATATTTTGCTGCCAAAGCAACTTCTTGAATTTTACATTTTTTGTAAGTGACGTCACTCAATATTTCACCAAAATCTTCATTTTATTGTGTAGGAGTCCAATGTCTGAGAGCAAACTAAATCCTAGTTTGTCTTAAATAGCATAGATTCTTTTAAACTACTTTGTGCCTTGTGGCAGTAGCCCTCCAGGCTGTTGTGGCAAATAGCAGGGCACTCACTACAGCACAGCACCCACCACACTCCAGGTGTTGAGCACAAGAGCCTGTTCCCAGGCTGTGCCGTGGCTCTGGCTGTGCCCTGTGTGCAGGAGAAGGAATTAGACACTTTCCTCATTTCTGTTGGCATTTAGAGGAATATTTTGCTTAAATGACTCCAGGTTTGCTCTGCTAATCCCACCTGAGACATCAGTGAGTCCGTGCCCTGTGGACCTCTTTTCTGTGCACTTGGGAAATCCCAAACTGCTGTGTCAGGAGATGCCTCCTGGCTTCGTGGCAAAGGGCTTTCCTTGACCTTCCCTACGGACATCTGGACAGCAATTCCTAACTCCCAGTGCTGTTTCTTGCTTTCAGGAGGATTCACTTGTAGCCTCTTTTGTCTTCAGAATTAAAGAACCTGATACTCTCCTGCTAAGGTGAAGAGAATTGGTTGCTTCCTCCAAAGTAATTGTATCTCAAAATGGAAAAAGCCACCCCCCAGCTCCTCTGTTTCCTGTTCTTCCCAATCCATGAAGCTGAGTCAGGGCAGGCTCAGGTTGAATCTCAGGAAAAGGTTCTTCTTCCAGAGGGTGGTTGGGCACTGCCCAGGCTCCCCAGGGCAGTGGGCACAGCCCCAAGGCTGTCAGAGCTCAAGGAGTGTTTGGACAGCTCTCTCAGGGACATGGTGGGATTGCTGGGGTATCTGGAGGGCCAGCAGTTGGACTGGATGATCCTTGTGCATCCCTTCCAATTTGGAATATTCTGTGATTCTATGATTCTGTGGCACCTTGCTGGCAGTGGAGGTCACAGTGTGACCATACAGTGGGACAGAGCATTTACCCTTTCTGTCATTCCAGCTCTGCGTGTGCAGCAAGACAGTCTTGTCCCATCCTTTTTCCTACTATTTTCTGTCATGTTTCTGCCACTATCATGTCACGCAAAAAAAATGAAGCAGGAAATGGAGTGGCAGGAATGGTCATCAGGAAACAGGAGTAAATGCTCCACTGGTACACAGCACGCACTGTTCCTTCACATTCCTCTGGTTTCTTGTGTCATCTTCCTCCCAAGGCGACCATGATGGCAGAAGAGCTGAAGAAGGAGCAGGACACCAGTGCCCACCTGGAGAGGATGAAGAGGAACCTGGACCAGACGGTGAAGGACCTGCAGCACCGTGTGGATGAGGCCGAGCAGTTGGCCCTGAAGGGAGGCAAGAAGCAAATCCAGAAGCTGGAGGCCAGGGTGAGTACCACAGCTGAACATGGGAGTCAGAGACATCTTTCTTCTCCAAGTCCTATGTGAGTCTTGCTTAAGGTAATTGTTGATTAATTCACCAGATCCAAGAATTAGAAGCTGAGCTGGAAGAAGAACATAAACAATCTGCAGAGGCTACGAAAAACATCTGCAAATATGAGCGGCATGTCAAAGAGCTCACTCTCCAGGTGGGTAAAAATAGAAAGCAATTCTCCTGATGTTTTGTCTCCCAAGGACATGTAATTGCATATTCTCTTTACTCAGAATGAAGAACACAGGAAGAACATGATGATGTTACAAGATCTGGTAGATAAACTGCAGATGAAAATCAAATCCTACAAAAGACAAGCTGAGGAAGCTGTGAGTCACTAAACTGAAACAAATACTTATTTACCAGTTCATAGTACCGTCAGTTTAAAAGCTGGCTCTGTGCCTCAGCATGTTGCCAGATGGTTTTTAATTTATTTTTTGTTTTGCAATTTCAGGATGAACAGGCCAATATTAATCTCTCCAAATTGAGAAAAGCACAACATAAGATAGATGAGGCTGAGGAAAGGGTAGCTATTGCTGAGAGCCAAGTAAACAAGCTCAGAGCCAAAGCCCGAGAAGGCCCTGCTACAAAGGTAAGGCTTCACAGCAGGAGGCAGGTGTATAGTTGTGCTGTTTGCTCAAGCAAGTTGAGCAGCAGGCTTGTGCCTTGCCAGTGGGTACAGCCATCATTCAAAAGGACAGCTCTGGAAGGGAGGGACTTTTGAAGAAAAGCTGAGAGGGTTGGGGTTGTTCCGCCTGGAGAAGACAAAGCTCTGAGGAGACCTTATTCTGGCCTTTCAGTATATAAAAGGGACTTATAAGAAAGACAGTGAAAGACTTTTTAGGAGAGCTTTTAGTGGTAGGGCATGGGATGATGGTTTTAAACTGAAATAGGGTATGTTTAATTAAATAAATTGAACATAAGGAAGAAATATTTCATCATGAGAGTGGTGAGGCCTTGGCACAGGTTACCCAGAGATGTTGTGGATCCCCATCACTGGAAATGTTCAGGCTCAGGTTGGATGGTGCTCTGAGCAACCTGGTCTTTCACTGGAAAGATGTTCCTGGCCATGTCAGGAGTTTTGGACCAGATGATCTTTGAAGGTCCCTTCCAGCTCACAACATTCTGTGAGCTATGATTCTCTGCCTCTGGCATTTCAGGCTCTGGTGCTGAGCATTGCTTTGTGGCTGATTTCATCCGATTAGTTTCAGATTTAAGGAGCTACTTCATTAAGTGAAAATAATGTAAGTCAACCTAACTCTGACCATTCCTAAAACATCCCTTCTGTGAGCCTTAGGCAGAATTAGCATTCTGACTGAGAAAAGAGCAGCAGCTCTGTGTCTTTAGCTGAACTTCCCAGGCAGTTGTCTATCTCTAACCCAAGACTGGCACAAGATCTGGAGCTACCTTTCCTAGTGTGATCTTTTGACTGCACTAGTTTAGCATAGTTTGTGGCTGGAGGTAAAAAACCCCAGTGCATGTCTTGGAAAAACTACTAGGGCCTAGAGCACATATCCAGGAAATGGAGAACCTCAGCTCCAGACCGCTTTCTGCAGCATTTTCACTCTGGAAGAGATGTTTTCTCCTGAAGGATCTGGCCTGGGACTCAACAGACACTTTTGTTTCTGCCAGCTTTCACTGTCACCTAATGCTCTGCAGCAGGAAAAGGCTTTGACTCCTCAGTGCTTGCCAGGATATCTTGCCAAGAAGCAGGGGACACACTAGGGAGGTTCAGTCTAGGTTCTTCCAGGTGTCTCTAGACATGAGACTACTTTATAAAGGGAATGTTCAATCTCTAATTAAATTGGAAGCCTAGACAGTGGCAAGATTTCAGGTATCTCCTATTGGACATGCTTAGGTAAAGACAGATTGAGCAGACTGACTATGGGCCACTCTCTGCAATCTGCTGCAGGTTTAGATCCTCCTTTGAGTTACCTGATACTGTGCAGTATATACTGAGCATAAGTTCGTGGCACAAGTTCTGGTAGGCCTAAAAATTAATCATTGTGATGCCTAAATCTTTTAAGCCCTTCCATGCTATAGACTCATTTTTGGAAATGCTGGTATACTCCTTATCCCAGAGGGTGGGGGTTGTTTAAGCAATGCAGCATGAAAGTAGCGCTTCAGGAAAGCCAACAGATGTGTTTGTGCATTTGAACCCATCAGTCCAACAGCATGACGTGTGGTGATGTGTTACAGACACCACTGCCTTGGTCTGGTTTCCACTTGCACATCCTACCTGGATGGTGCATTGGGATGGATGATTTCAGGGATCAAAAGACTCATCTGGACACGTGTAGACTGAACAAAGCCTCTCCTTTCCAGGTGGTGTTAGGAACTGAAAAATGAGCTTCCTCTGGGATAACCAGAACTTCCACAAAGTATCTTTCCAGCTGTGGATTTGCAGTAGCTAGAGCTACACTCGTAGGAAGTAATCTTCTATTTGTTTGTGAACACAAACATTTTCTGCCACTGCTGCTGTACCAGTGTCAATAAAATAGATACCTGCAACTTCAGATGCTCCAAATGTGGATGTTCAAATGAGAGTCATTTTGTTGCTAAGCTTAGCATAGTCAAAACTGTGTGTTCGAGTCTTACTGCTGCCATGATCAGTTTGACCAATTTTATCCTGAATTTAAAACCTAGATGTTTGACAGGTTTCCTCCTCACCTTCTGTTTGGAAGCAGGTATCCTGACCTTGTTAAATGAAGCTGAAAATACAGTACTGTACAAACAGATGTGGTATATCAAACATGCAATGTGAACAAAATTACAGGGCTCGTGCTTAGTTACACTGCTGTACTTCTGCATGGGAGAATGAGACTGGTGCAGCCTGTGAGCCCACAGCCATCTGTGTGCATTGCAAACTGAGTGCTTAGAATCTCCGTATAGTCAAACCACCTGTCAGAAAGTTGGCCCAATTCTGACCTACCAAGTGTTGCAGCTCAAAGCAGAGCAGGACTTGAACTTACGTGTCTTATGTGCTTGTTCCCATGGAAATGGTTATCAAATGCTCTGCAGTGCCAGCAGCAAAGTCTGAGTAGCTGCCTGAAGCTCATCTCCCCAGTGGCACTGGGCACCATAATTCTGCTTGGTGTTTCCCAAGGACAAAGATGCGTTCAGCTACTTTGTGGTGAATGTATGGTATAGTTGAAACTGCAGGATTTCAGGTAGGGAGAAAACCCAGCAGACTGCTGAGAAGACATCCCTGGAAGGGCTGGAGAGTGAACGGGATACCTTTGGGCAGACATTCCAGTGCTCTGAGAAGTTGAATTAATTTGTGCATAGCACCAGGCACTGTGTCAAATAGGATGCTGACACTGTTGGGAAGTTCTAGGTGAGTGCTTCTCATCTATGTGCCTAGGAAAGGTATATCAAAATGGGTCTCCTTATCTATCTCGAGGACACAGACAGGCAGTGCTCAGGAAGGAGTCTGGCCTGCTTCTGCTGACAAGTAACGAGGATGGGAGAGGAGAAACCCAAGATGTTCTGTCACTCCTGTCTGAAAAAGAGTGATGGATGTCACATCTTTCTCAATTTTCAACTACAAAAAGGTTAATAAAGGTTAATAAAATCAGCAGACACCTGTCCCTCCCATGACACCTTTGAAGGTTTCACCATGGCTCCCTGTCAGACACATTTTTTTTCATTCCTCTTCACCCAGTGCACTCATGCTCATTGACAAAGAGCCAGGATGGCCCTATTGCCAGGCTGAGCAGCATTTGGGGTTACTGATCTCCCCTCTTACCTTGTTCTCCAGAGATCTGTGAACTAATGCCCTAGTTACAATTGATTTTTTTACATTTCCTTGAGAGCATTTGATAATGATTATTATGCAATGGCCCAACTTTTCCTACTACTTTCCAGAAAATAACCTAATGAAATACTGAATTGATAAGATGCAAGATCTTCGGTTTGTCTGAGAAATCTGGAACTTTAATAAACCTTATCAGTCAGTCTAGCCATAGTTTCCCCAAAAACTGTCCCCACACCATGATCCTTTCGAGACAGGCCTCCATCCACTATTATGGGCTTGTGATTTTGGGGAATCAGAATTGAGTGTTAGTTTTCACACCCATTGGGATATATCTAGGTGTGTTGCTCTTTTTCTTTCCTGTGGGATGACTTCTGTTTCAGTTCCTGTTGCCTGGAAGCAGCTCTTTCCCAGGGGAATTCCTGCACCTTGTTCTCAGCAGCTCATGGCACAGTGCTGTGCTTCAAGATGGAATCCCAAGTCCTGCTTTGCTCTTAGGCCATGTCACTGATCCTACTCCACCACGTCAAATGCCTGGTTACCCAGTGCAATAATCTACTTCATAAACCTGTAGAAAAAGAGTTGTAATTTGCTTAGGAGCAGCCATGCAAAACCAATGGGAAATTACTAACTGGTAGGTAAGACTAGCAACCCTAATGAGACTGGCATTACTCATTTCAGAGTGTCCAGGCATCAGCATGGCATTATCATGTAATCCCAACCCTCTTTCCTGCTTTTGGTACTAAGTTTGCTGTTTTGCTCTTGCCCCAGCTATACCATCCCTGGTCCTCTGAGACCTCCCCCACCTGCTCAAGCAGAGTGGGCAGAGCACAGCAGCCTCAGCAATTCCTGCAAGGCTCTGCAGGGATGTGACTTTAGCAGGATAACTCCTACCCTCACTACACCAGCTCCTTTCTGCTGGCAGTGCAGCTCTCCCCCATTTCATAAAGGGGTTAAAGTGTGGGCTCTGGGTCATGTTGGGGTTGGCTGGATGGCAGTGTCAGAGCCTGGCTCTCCCACCTGCACCTTGAGCCCCCAGGCTGACTATAAACAGAGACCATGGTGCCTGCGTTGGCATAACATGCCGTGTGTGCGGGTCTGGCTGGTTTGGAGTTGAGGATCCTGAGAGCAGGACTGCAGATCTGGGCTCTGGGCTCAGGGCCTGCTGGCAGCAGTGCAGCTCTGTGGGAAGCCTGTGGTGCGCTTTGAACTGTACCGATGGTGCGTGATAAGAAAATTGGAAGAAATGCCTGGCCACGGGCACAAACCTTCACAGCTCGAGTTACTGTGAGGGAGTTTAGCCAGTGCTGATGGTTCAGAGCAGCACAAGTGTGAACATTCCACTGCTGGAGATGCTCAGAGAAGCACACAACCCATCCCAGAGCCTGCCACAGCAGGGACCAGGTGCTAAGGCCCTGGGTGAGTCTCCACCTGGCAAGGTGCTCTGCAGGAACCTGAACCACATCACATGGCACCAAATGGAGTGAGGGGAAGCCTTTATAACCAGCCTGACCTTTCAGCGAGCAGCCAAGGGGGGACTGTGCACAGCGCCCACAGCCTGTGTTGTGCTGTGTTCTGAGAGACACAGGGGGTGCCCAGTGAGCGCAGAGGTGCTGGCAAAGCCAGACTGGGGGGTTTGTAGAGGAGGCAGTTTAACTTTTTAGGCTGCTGGAAAAAATAACTTGCCCAAGGATAAGGAATTGTGTCTCTTGTCTGCCAACTGAACCAATGGAGTCTTCATGTGCAGGAGTGCAGGATGTGCTTGGAAATGGCTTAGAAGGCTGGGACCGTACCAAGTATCCTTTTTCCAGGAGCTACCATAAGATCAATCCCTAGGG